ATATATTAAAAAGTTAATTAATTCATGAAATTATTTTAAATTAAATTTAAATTTAAATTTAAACTTAAAATAATTATTTTATTAATTATTGATATTAAAATCTAATTAATATAAGTTCTAATGAAATATAATAACTAGTTTTAACTAATTTTAATGATTAAACGTTTTAAAATTAATTAATTTTAATTATCATGATTAAATATAACGATAATAGTATGCATCCTTAGCTTAATATTAAGAATATCACGTGCTCAGCATTCATAGACAACATTAATAATTCACATGATTAAGTTTTATTTTATATTTTATTAAAAAAAACTTTGAAATAATATTTATTATTGATAATTTTGTTATTAATAATTTATTATTCATTTTCTTCTATCACTTTAACGGCATTTTAAAATTGTATAATTTAAATATTAATAAATTAAGGTTTTGCTATTATAGAGGAATTTAATTTTTCTATATATAAAATAGAAGGGAGTTTGTATAAGAAATAGGAGGAATTTTGTGTAATTAGTCAAATTCTTTATTAAGGGTATTTTTTTTATCAATTTAATTTAAAAATAAATATTTTGAGTTTAGGCATATAATATTTATAAAATAAGAAGAACTTTGTGTAAGCTTTTGAAATAAAAGTAATTTATCAAGCATATGGATTAACGGAAGTGAACAATGTTTGAGTTTAACAAGTGACTTTAAATTTGAGTCTTTAATATGTAGTTACCTTAAATATTTAAAGAAAATTTTACTGTCTATACTTATCTTTTGGACTCAAACATAATTGTTTAAGTTAATACACGTGGTTTAGATAATAACTAAATAAAAGCAGTTTTGTATAAGAAATGTAAAATAGAAAGGAGGTAAGTAGTTTTTACTTATGAACTAAACTAAATATGATTGATAACGAGGTCTAAAAAGTTTAGCCAGAGTTTCCAAGATTGAATATTTCTTGCCAACCTATGAAACTTGAAGGATTAACAAGCAAGCACATGGAAGAGGAATGTACCGTGTTAGGAGTTACTCATTCATTATTATTCACAAAGAGAAAATTAAAGAAATCGTATAATTGAATGTTGTATACTTAATATTCCTATATAACCCAAGGCAGGTGTAAATTGTGGATCACCATCACATTTGGCTAACATCGAAAATTTCTCCATCCGAAGTCAATTCGGTTGGTTCAATCGATTTTAGGTTTTCCTTTTACGACCGTTAAGGCTCGATTGGTCAAATGATTACGTTACTATTATTATGATTTCACATCGCCATCCATTGGAGCTTGAGGAATGGTTACGCAAGTTCTTTTCCTTAATTTGAAAAAAGAGAATTTAGTATTTAT